TATAATGCAGTTGTATAATAATGACCAATTAAAAATAAATTCGCGTGTACTCGTGGGCGAACAGAAACCGATTACCATCCACCGACCGTAAATTGTAAATATGTGTTACATTAGTTTATTACGATATATGTATAGTTCATAGGTATGTGATACCTATACCACCTATATCACGCTATAGATGGATTAGAGACACGTCGATATAGATGACATATTGGAGTTAATCGTGGAAACGCAGTTTTTTTTTGCACCAACAGTGGAGCAGAGTTTTCGTCTTCGTCGAGGAACATTGAGATAAACGAAATGAAACTCAATAATATCCAATAATACTGAAAATAATATTTTTTATAAGTTCCATTAAAAATCGTCACACGCTGAACGCAACGCGACAATATTTTACTTAAGTACCAGTTTACTTGAATATTACCAAACCCATAAACAGAGCACACCAGTGGCGCAACCAGGATTTGTTCAATGGCCCAAAAAAATGTATTTCATTACTGTTTTTCTGTTCCTTTCCTAAGCATATGCATACATTGTATTGCTTAATAAAAACAATAATTTTCAATAATTCAATATAAAAGATATCAATAAGTTTTGATGACAATGTCAGCGAATCTTTAAAAATTAAAAAAAGGAGCACACATTATACTATGTATATTATGTGAACACGATTCTAAGTAACGGTCGTATATAAAAAAGCGCTTATGAAACTATAGTACCAGCTTTTTTATGTATACTTGACAGTTGAATCGCTTTTGAATGCCGTTGGTACTATTGCGATGGTCATCTGCAGCAACTTCAGCGAGATTCGAACAGATATTATATCGTGATGCATTGTAAATATTAACAGATAATAAACGGTGTTGAGTTGATATTATTATTATAATTGTAATAATGTAATGTTATAATATTGTAATAGCCTACTCTACGCTAAATTATACAAAACATTGACACCAGTTTGGAGTCGATCGGACGAGGTACTTCTCTATATCATCCCTCAATATAAATTTTGGGTAGGTACATTAGGAATACCCATCGTTTCTAGGACGCCATAACTAAATATTATATTTTCGTGTTTTGTCAAAAATGTGAGTATGACATAAGATCCGAGGTCTCTGTGTACAATATACATTTGGGAATTGGGGCCCATCAGGCGATGAACCACCGGCAACTATATATACGGTATAGTTTCGGCACTGATTCGGATGTATAGGTGCAGGAGTGCGGGTTGTATATACTTAAGGTCCCGACCCTCGTCGTCGGCAAAGTGGTATTCCGGGGGTGCAGGGAGGGGGAGTGACACGCAAGAGTCGAAGGGATCATTAATAATAATAATAATAGGTAGGTTTTCGTCGTACGAGCACGGCGGCCGCCGAGATTACATCTGTGTCCGATTTGTGCTGAATTATTATTATATTTTCGCGTTCAGGATTCGCGGACGGAGATTGAAAATAACCCGCACCGGACGTTTACGACGACGGCCTCGCACACGCACCGCGGCCATATAATATATAATATTATATATTATTATATACTCTATTACCGCTGCCGCCGCCATACGGATTGGCATGAACGGCAGGGCATTTAACCGCGTTACGCGCATAAAACACAAAGTACACGGTATTACGTTTCTGAAAAACCTTGCGCATTGGAAGGTTACCAAAAAGAAAAATAAAAGCCACATGTACACCGCGCGAAATTTAATATTATATAGATGGTGTGTATATACCGTTTAGGAGAATATCGGCTCGGCCGCCTCCGCGCCTGTATTTGACCGCGCGCTCGATTAATAATAATAATAATTATAATATTATTATCCGTAATGATGATATTATTGATATTTACGTTATTTTATGATATTAAGTAGTATTGCTGTCATATTTCATCGTCCATAATATAATGTAATTGGTAGGTATGCCCAATCTGCATCGTCATAACTCATTGTATAGGTAGGTATAATAATACGCACGGCTAAGCAGTGAAAAACAAAGAATTTATTCAGCAAAAAACAAAACTATAACAATATAATTGTTTGTTTTTACACAAGTCTTGCAACTTACTTTATGGCTTGGAAATAAATCACAGGTAACCACACCCCCCTCTTTCGTGAATTAATATTAAATAGGTGTATATGATGGGTACAAGAAATAGGTTAGGAACTCTACTGTTGGCATATCTGGGGTAAGGGGGCGAAATAATACCTTTACCCCTTGCAAAAATGTCAGGTGATACAAGTGCCTTCCCTCGCCCACTCCCCACAATTATATGCCACTGCCACGACGGATCAGCGACGGCGGGAGTGCGAATAATTACAATAACAAAATAATAATACAACACAACGATAATCGATGCGACAATGACGACGGCGAAGACGGTGATGAGGCGTCGGGAGGGGGGGGGGGAAATTCGTAATTTTTCTGGAACAAAAGTCAATTAAAAACGTCCTCGGTGTAACGGCCGCCCGCGCGTCATCTCGATCGTACAACAACGGCGGCGAGTGTATTATATTGTTGTGTGCGGTGTGGTCGTGTGGTACATATATATTGTATATAATATATATATATATATATATATATATATATATATATATAACATGTACACGGGGACGACGCCCGCCGCCGCGCGTGGTATAGCGCCGGAATTACTGAAGGCGCCGGACCGGCGGCGCACTTTGGCCTCAGCCGGATTACTTTTCTTTTCTTATTTATACATATATATACATCGCAGTTTTTTGTTGCCCTCACAATTTCTTCTCTATACTCTTCACTTATTATTTTCTCTCCTTTCAAACGGAAAAAGGTTCTCTCGCTTTCCTCTTTATTTTCTTTTTCCTTCTCTTTTTTTCTATCTTTTTTTTACTGTACATAAGAAACGCACGAAGTATTATTCGGCGCATAAACTTGTTGGATTCGAACCCACACTCACACCCACACCCACACACACACACACACCATACCCAACAACAACAACATCACCGATGTATCCACAGATGTATATATACATTATATTTCGCGCTAGCCAACTTTTGATTAAAAACTTTCGGGATTTTTTTTTTTTATAGCCGTAAAATACGAACAAGAAGAAGAGCTGTCGTATATGCGGTCAACGAAAACGCCTTGAGGGAGTATTATTCCAGTGGGACCAACCAGCGTTATATAATATGGCGCGGCAAGGTGTGTTACGACTACGAGATCGGGAGGGGGTCATATAATGCGAATCGTACACTCAATTACAACTTATATAAATAACAATACGAACATATATTTTTAGTCTGAGAAGTCATATAGAGAGGTAATCCCATTGACTTTTTTAAACGTTGTGACCACCGATTGCGCTTTCATTAAAACTATAATAATTTATTGTATTGAATCATCATCGAACTTTTAAAAAAACTATATACCAAGATCATTCATATACATATAAAACTGACCCAAACTTATGTATTAACTATTTTAGTCGTAAAAGTAAACTAGGGTAGGTAATAATATTTTGGTTCGTAATTTTTTTTTATAAAATTGAACACTTGGTAATTTAGTATACGGGTACTCTCGAAAAATTAATGGAAACACCTCTGATAGTTCTCCGTGGCTGAACTATAGAATTGTATGCATAGGTACATACAATAACGGTCGATATTTCAGTAGGTTAGGTATATTCTAAGTATATATCAATTAAAAAATAAATAAAACAGAATAAGACGTGAGGCGAAAATTGTTTTGAAATACTGCAGTATTTGAACAAGTGCTCGTTTCTTATAACATGTTTTTTAATACCACCTACTTAAATAAATTATTTCGTAAGTTCGTAACGACTGCGGCGGATTTTTTTTACGGCCGAATTTATTGCCCCTAATAGACGGTCACGACGAGATCATTAAAAAAATTATTTAATTACTAAAGTCATCATTGTCAGTGTAACAACCAGTCAAGCCCAATTTGCTTGTTAAAATTTAAATGAATTACGGCCGACGAGGATGACGCGAAGAAAACGATGGCCGACGAAGCGTATGCGGCAGCTCGCGACGTCATGATGTCGAATACAATATCAATCACGAGCAGACATATTATTATATTATAACAAGACCGCCGCCGCCGTCGATATACAAATATTATCCGGACAATTAAAGGTTAGGAAAGACGATGTTTTTTTTTTTATTATCTTGAGATTCTTCCAACCGTAGGTGCAATAAATAACAATCATAACGGGTTTTTCGTCACGACATGAGCCACGCCTTCCGCGACACACGCATCAGAGGTGACTGATGGACTTCTTTAGGTGCGGTCGACTTTCGCGCGCGCGTTCATAACTAACTATCGCGCGACCACCGCGGCGAAACGACACGCGAGTATAATATAATAATATAGCCGACTAATAATAGTGGACGCGTGCGCAGAAGAAGGGCATTTGGCAAGATCACAAAACCAGTAAAAATAAAAAAAAAATAAAAAATGAAAAAATCTGCGAACGTTTTGCCGCACCTTATTAGAGCAGCGGGAGGAAAACCGTGGTGGACACGGAGAGCGCAGATAGAGACAGAGACGGAGAGACTTGCCAGAATGTCCTCCTATTAAGGATCGCTCGTAAATCTCCGACGGGCCCGCCGTCCTACATATAATATAATACCGTCACCGTGCTGGACGTGAAATATTCAAATATAACCAGTTGCGATATATTACACATATAATATACGAATATATCTGTAAATATATATACTTTTTTTATATGTACTGCCGTAATATATATACTCCGCGTAGTACTCGCAGGGTAGAGTACATGATAAATGTACATATACATTATACGTATGTGAACATCCCGAGCCGATACTGCTGCAGCGCACATATATAATCACTCAATCTTAACTGCAAATGGAATATAGGCACGCCATTCTATTACGACCATTTGTTTAACGTTTTTATCGTCTCGTCTACTACTCCGAGCAGCTATGCTATAATAATAATGTACGTCGCGTCTTCGGTGAGCGCAAAATTATTGGCCCAGTCATGCCAAAAACCGGAACGACATTATTGTTCCGACGAGGAGGGATCGGCGGCGGCGATAAAGGCGCGACGCGGGCGAAGGAAAAAAAGATACGCCTACCCGTCGGGCGTTTGGCAAAGGCTGACGCGGCGGCGACGACCGTTGTGTTGTCGCTGCAACTATGTGCAACGGCGGGCAGCAGCAGCCTCAGCCGGACTCGTTCGGGCCGATAAAAATGATTTACGAAATCGACGCGGGACGGACGACCGGAATAATATGCGCTCTCTTGGCAGCGCACTCTTGATCCGGAAACTCTCGACTAAAAGCCCCGCCGCGACGGGGGTCTTAAAAATTAATTTTTTCCCCGTACACTACAATATAGTATAATATATTATAATGATATTACACAACAGAACGATCGCCGGGACTTTGACTTTCCGCGGTACGCGCACGCGGCACTCGCACATATAATATAATATTATACATAGGTATAAACCGTACGGGGCGCGTATACCTCTACATAGACTGCAGATCGTCGTGGCCACGATGACGACGGAAGAAGGGTCTTATCTGCCGATTCACCTCCGGTTACCGTTCCTCGCATATCGTATTATACACATATAGGAGGAGGACCGTGCAGGAACACGGTCACGGTATGGTCGCGGGGGATGATCGTTAAGCGAGCACGGAAGCCTTCAGACCCCTGCGCGGTATATATCATATATATATATACACTGCAAATATACACACAAGTGTTCCGCCTTGATTGTTTCGGCCGAGATTGACCGGCCCCCGCCGTAACTCGAGGACGGCCGACTACGCACGGATGGAGGTGCGTGCGGTGTCGTCGGCGGCGGTGTTAATGATGCTATTTTACACGCTCTCGCACCTAACTCTCGGGAAAACGTTTACACGCGACTACGAAACGGTCCTTCTCCTCCGATAACGGCGTGCGTGGAGATGGGGACGGCGGCGTGATGACCGCAACAACAGGACACGAAAACGGTTTCGATCGAGCGCCGTGTGTAACGAATGCGTCCCCGGGGACGGGGCTCGCGCAAAGGTTCGAGTCCGGACCGCGGAGAGATTTTGATTAAAAGTATGTGCGACGGGGGGGGGGGGGGGAGGAGCGTACGGTATATACGTATAATACGAGTATGATGTATAAAAATCTCCCAGCCCTCTGCCGTTTATATATTTTATATATATAAATGTATATACGCGCCCGACGAGAAAATTAAATAATAAAAAGAAAGCGATACTGCGAAAATGTTTAGCGTCGCGGCGGCTGATTCCCGGAGTTTATGCCCGTAAAAGAAGAAAAAAAAGCGTATTTTTACTTATTTCTTTTTTGCTTATACTTTTTTTTTTTTTTTTTTATTATCGGCAATAAAATCGTGTCGGACGCGATAATCCTGACGGAGAAGTCGAATCGCCGTGCGGTCGCGCGTTTATTTTTATGACGTCATCTTTGTCATTGGGGCCTAATGGAAAATTGGGCGTGGTCGGGTTTTTTTCCCCGACGGTGTATATCATGTATATAATATAATAATATCGTGTATAATACACAACGACGATGACAATAATCATAATAATAATAACAACAACAACAACAACAACTGCAACAACGCGGTCGCGCAATATACGACGCCAAAGGCGATGCGACGGTTAGGGGTGTATCCGCCGCCGCCGTATATACTCCTCACGCGACCAATATATATATTTTTGTAGCTGTTCACCTCAGTCCGAGCAGGAGATATATATATAATATTATTTTATTTTATTCTTACGACGATTTTTATTTTATTTTATTCTCACGACGATTATTATACTGCTCGAAACGAATGATTGGATTGTTTTTATTAAATCTCGTACACGAAATATTATACGCTGCTATTAATATCAACTACGTATCCATATATATATATATGTACGAACGTTTTATTATTTGTACGCAAGTAGTTTCGACTCTTACGATAGGTTAAACTTTACGATGTGCACACGCTTTCGATTAAAACTTGACATTTTCGGTGTTTTTTACTGCCAAAAAAAGAATGTATTATTTTTAATTTTGTTTTTACTAATTTCTACGACAACTTTGTCGTCACATAAACTTTAAATATATACATTCGAGAAACACTAGGAAGATTTCGTCGAGGGACTGGAGAGAGTTTTAGAGTGGTTTTGATAAAACAAAATAAAAAACGTTAATCGCTCCGGAACTGTGTTGCCCTTTGTCCTTCGAAACGTCTAAGTACTTCAGTCATTTTATTAATCGCTGCTCATTTAAACGTCGACTTTTAATTAGCCGTAAACTTCGGATAAAATGATCCACCTATACAGAGTATATAAGAGACAGAGAACACCCGCCCGGGTCTTAAACTTTCTGAAGTATACACTTTGACTTCTGGAGATAATAATTCACTTGGAGAGCACTGACTTTTCCAGGGGGGTTAAAGAGGTTAAAAAACCTTTCACCCGCCACTTAATTGCTAAGCATTAATATCGAAAGGAGTTTTTTGGAACTATAATTTATAAATTATACGGAATTATTAAACGGTAAAAGCGCAGTCCTTACCTTTGTCACAGTCCTTGATCACCGTCTCCCCTTCGTCATCGTCTTTAACAGCAGCTGCACCGTCGTCTTCGTCATTTACCGTCATATCCTCTTCGTCGTCTCTACTCGTACAGTCTTCGTTTGCAGACTATAAAAATCAAATGCAACGTTTAGTTTGGAACATTATGATTTAAAACTCTATTATATGAATAATTATGATGTTTTCTTTTAACGATGATTTTATACACCATGGTCGGCATTGGCAATTATATGCCAAAATATGTATAAATTAAACAATAACGAAGTGTTTTATTTGGATCGTGGAAACCCGCATACAACTCTAATGTGTACCTATATGATAAAACTACTTAACGAAAACTATTAAGTAAAAATGATCGTTAATTTACCCTACACATTCGATTTCAATTTATTTGGGTGTAATAAATATGTATTTTATTACTGTTTACTTATTTAAGAACATTAAATTACTTAGGGTCTTTAAGAGGGTTAGGGTGTAATTTCCTGGTTCTCAATAGAAATATTAACTTTACGAGTATAGTGTAAATATTTAAATGTTTACGGTTGTGTTTTTAAGAACTATATAGCATTTCACCAGATTAATTTACGCTAATAATTAGAGTATAACGTCCATTTTTCGATTTCAGTATCTGGACAAAAAAAATTCTTCTTTTCATAAATAAAACTGATTATATTATACTCAATTATATACTTAAATATTCGTAATCTCGTGGATCATAATATTATATACACCCTTCATAACTGTATGAATATATGTTTAGGCTATAGGAGTATGAAAAATAATATTTGTGTAAAAAAGGCTCGTGTATTTTATCAATAAATTATCAAATAACCGTCGGATATCTTTAAAAAAAAAGTTTTAAATCTTACCGTAGAAGAATCTTTAGTATCATCCGTCGTCTGACAACGACTGTCGATGAACTGTCGTTTGGTGTTGGTGTCCACCGACAGCAGTGGCTGATGGTTGTGATTGGTGTCCGGGTTGATGATGATTTCGTCATCTTGTTCCACACACAGAGTCATATCCTGTTGGGGGTCTACGATGTCACAGTCTGCTTCCACTGGGGAAAAATAATGAGAAAAATTGCGTAAGTTTATATATGTATATTATACATAATAATATATACTGTGTGTGCGTATATACTGTGTATATATATTATATGGAGAAGAGCATAGAAAAACGAAAAGGAAAACTAATCTTTAATCATCTCGAAACACTTTTATAGGTTATTACTCGAAAACGGTTCAGATAAATAGCTCCGATACCCGGTTAGGGGTAGCGGTGCATTGGCGGCGGACGCAATAAAAAGGAAAAGCGAAATCGTCGTTCGGTATAGTCGTCGTCGTCGTCGTGCTTTAACTATATACTACGGACATAAATCATATTTTAAATTAGTAACGGAGACGAATGGAGAGGGATGGGAATTTATGAGCCTTTTCATCGCGAGGTCCACCTTGGACGTATATCCCTCCTCCCCAGATCGCTGCCGACCGGAGCGGCCCGAAAAACTCTTTTGGTACATTAAGTTAAGTGACCCTCACCGCGACGACTGCTATAATGCTATACTGTACATAGGGCTCGTCCGTCGTTTTGGCGACGATATTTCATACACTTTAGTGTGTTTCCTCGTTATAAATATATATATATATGATGTGCGTCGACGAAACGACATATTATGTTACGGCGAGAAGAGGGGCTGCACATTTATCCACGGGCCGCCGGGTAGTTGTGCAGCGCGTATATATAACCTTATCGCCGTATATATACATATAATATTATATATTGTATTATGTACACATTGTATACCCTGCAGTATACACACCCCCTCCGGCTATATGTTAGCACCGCCGATATAACTGCGAGTACTAAATAGTAAATAATGCAGTGTATTATTATTATTATTATAAATAGGTACCATTTTGATTGTTTTCGACTCTATATGGCTTTTTTGTTCCTAATATAATATATGTGTTATTATTATTATTATTATTTCACTGCGCAGCTCGGGGAAGGCAAATGTCGTCGTTTCGTGCACGCGACATGTGCCGCTGATGAGCATAGTAATTAAGTCCGGTAGGTATTGAAAGGGTTCCCCCTTTATTCCGCGCGCGCTCTACCCACGGGCGCGGTTTGAAACGGCGGCCGCGGTGGCCGATCGGGAATGGGTGGGGTGAGAGGGGCTCCCGTCGAATTAGCAATCATGTCAATCCATCCGAAACCAATCAACCCCATGCGCCGTTGTTTTTCTTCTCCACCCGCGTGCACACACGCGCACTAATGACACTGCACGACACGCCAGATGGCTTCCCCCGGCTTGCACCCCCACCACCATTACCTCACCCCTCCCCCCTCCTCACTGACACAGCTACTCATCGCCATCATCTGGCAACCGTTTTTATCCAAACTCGATCCATATCTATCGTACGAGCCCGATACCTTACTAAAGGTGACCTTTTCAGCTACGCAGCTACACGACACGAACACGACGAGCGCCCGTGACCTGACATGAATATTATACGACAATATACGTAATGTCACTGATATAATAATAAAACAACTTTTTTCGCGCGTATAGGATGTTGTGTGTATATACAACATAAAATTGTACGGTATTATACGCGTACTGCTGGGTGGTGTCACCGGCGGGAGGGGGTGAGCTGATGTGCAGATGCAGGGGAGGAGTTGCGAAAAAAATAAATTCCAAAATAAAAAAAAAGTTCCCGATTTGACATCATTTGACGCGATATTTCTGCACACGCTCGAAAGTTGTCCTGCCGGGTATTTGACATTAGGTCGGCATTGTGCGCGAGTTAGATTCGGACGCGAATTTATAATAATATATAAACATATACATAATATGCGATAGAGTTATATGTGCTGCTGCAGTGTCGTATAAGGCAGGCGTGATTGTCGGCCGGGCAATGGGGTAAGAGCAGAGGGTCGACTGCGAAAACTTTCCTTTAGAATACAATATATAAATACAAAAAAGTGGTTGTGGGGGGTACATCGTTTGTTGTGTCGCATTTTTTTTTTTTAGTTTTACGCCCTCCACGCCGATCGAACAGTGCGTATATTATATATACACGTATACGTACATGTAATAATATGCTAAAATAAAATAGTAAAAAGAACAATGCGCTCGACGGCGTACACGCACAATACAATATATCATCTCATATATATATATAAATACATATTATATACATACATCTACCTCTACGTGTAAAAATTCGAATTCCCACCACGGACAATGGCCGGTCCGGTATTATAATATTATTGTTTTGGGTTATATTATATACATTGTATATTTAAAATTCGCGTTATATATGTGTACATGTACGTTTTGGTAAAACATATAGTTGTCGTAAAACCATATACACATACTACGACGAGACTGCTCCTCGTCTGTAGGACGACAAAATAAAATAACGTGTGACGCCGCTCGGTAATCGGGCGGGATGAGTGCGTACCAAAAAAAAAAAAAAAAAAGAATGAAAACTGGGCACAAATTAAGTCTCACCCCCTCGCCATCCCCCATCAGTCGCGACCGATGAAAAATCGCTCCGCCGGGTCAAAACACGCGTGTACAATAACGTATAACGTCCGTCCGTCCGTCCGCCGCCGTTTGTTTTGGTAGTGTTTTTTTTTTTTTCGAAATTTATTCGTTCGCCGCCGCGCCGCACACACGCGCATTTATAATATATATATTATTATATAAATAATTACACGTGATGTTTACGTGCGCGGGCTCGTTGTAATAATAATATTATTGTGTCACTGTATTGCTGCATAGCTGTGCGGCGTGTATACGTGTGCCGTATATAACGACGATAATAAATTTTAAATAAAAAAACCGCACCCTTTATGTTCGGATGAACGTTTCGCGACGATATCGCCGGCACGCCGTAAAACGTTCGAAACGCGGACAAAAATTAAAACGAATACGTGTGGGGAATGTGTAAACCGGAGAAAACGCGGACGGACGGACAGACGCGAGAGGCGATATAGATTTGAATTATCGCGATCGGTTGCACGCCGCTCTGCCGTAACTCGCGAGGGCACATGCAATTTATGTAAAGTATTATATTATATTATGTTATTATAACGGGTGGTGGATGTAAATTGCAGCCTGAAATTGTAAAATTGTGTAGATTACGGCAGACAGGTAGTAAAATAGTGGACTTGGGATGCCATCATAAATTTAAGGTCGATAGGTACACGTTGTATATAAGTAGGACATATATAATATCATGTCTGTAGTCACCCAATAAAAAGCTTTAACAAGCTATTTAGCTTTTAGTATTGCCTTTTAGAATTTATTACTTATAGACTCCATATTTTTATTCAAATCGCCACCTTAGAAACTATAATTGTCGACTCCTAGAGTCTAGTGTCTAGACCAGTGATTGCCGACGTTAGCTGTACTGCCCCCTTGTTGGCTTTTTTAATTTTGAGGGGAGCGTTTTACTTAAAGGGGCGATGAGGGGGGCCTTATATATTGTATATTATATTTTAATAGATTTAAGAATTAAGTATATAAAAATAAAAATTGTTTATAGGGTTTGGCTTTTTACTTTAATTAAACGGCAGATCATAAAAATGAAACGATAATTGTTTTTTAATTTGTCCCGAGGGTTAGAGAGTGTGATAAGTAGGTATCACAAAAAATGACTTATTTCGCATTCCTTCAAAAAGTTTTTGGTTTAACACTTATATTTTAATAATAAATCTAATTACAATTTTTTCTCTATTATTTACATCATTATTTTTTGGTTACTTATATAATACACAATAATATGATGTTTATAGCGGTCACCTCAATAATGTATCAATTTGGATAAATGGTTATCGATTCCGTAAATTATTTAATAATTAAATAATATATGATCTTGAGTATACTTTATTTAATGAAAAATTCCATTTCAGTCATCCCTCCCACCACGACAGTACGATACTATAATTATATTACATCGATGTACGCACTACAACTGCTTCGTATGGTTATAAGTTATATGAGTAAATATAAGAAGACGTAACAATATTACAATAATACACTCCAACATCGGTATACCTAAATATATATTAACGTATAAATACGATTCACTAAGATAAACACTGCAGAAATCGAAGTCAACTATACAGCAATATATTATAATTTAAAGAAAGCAGTTCCAAAAGAATTTTGGATATTTGTTTGGACTCGGTGCGTCTCGGCGGTGTATAGCACACTTACGAAACTCACATATTATTATTATTATACCGATATAAATTATAGCGATAACAATAATAATTATTATTGTTATTATTATTATACTGTATACACATTTGTGTGCGGCGACGAAGGCGGACGCGGAGTGCCCGCGATTCGCGATAAATCCCATAATATTCTTCTCTCTCCCATCTCGTGCGTATAATATAAGATATAGAACGGCGGGTGTGTACTTGCAACACTTAAAATAATCGCCGCAAACGGATTTCGGCTTTCAGCGGAATGAAAAGCGAATCGGCGAAGAATCGCGTGTGTGTAGGGGGGGGGGGGTGGTGGGTGGCGAGTGCTCGTGTATCTCGGCGTATAGGAAGGAAAAAATGTCACGGGGACCGATGGCGATAATAGCAACGTATTTCGCGGGACGAATAGTATGTGCGGCGGCGTTGAAGACCCGTCCCCGTCGTGGCCTACATGTGAACGTGTGTTATATATTATACTATATAAACGAGGAGGACAAGCGTGCCGGCGCATCGGACCTAAAGATTTTCTCCGAACCAATATCGTTATTGCTACTCGAACGTTATTATCCGTCGCACATAATAATAGTAATATATTATATACACATATTATTATTATTATTATACTTTGGAAAGGGCTTGCGACAGAAAAACCAATTTGTGTTTGAACGCGCGAGAGTATACGGTCAGGTGCTTAGCGTCCGCGACGACGTAATGCGCTGTATGCGCGTGACATCGGTTCCGGAATTTAATAATAATAATATATTATTTCATAAATTTTATTATCTTGCTGGCG